GGCGGGAAGGGCTCGGCCGGAGGCGGCTGCGCCGCCGGTCTGAAGGCGGCGGGGGGCGGCAGCGGCTCGAATCCGCCGACGGGGACGTTTGCGTAGCGGGCGGGCGGCGGCGGCTCGGCGGCGGGGGCGCGGATCACCTGCACGTAAGAAGCCGGGAAGAGCCCGCGGTCCCCGCGGCTGTTGATGCCCTCTAGCCACCCCTCGATGTCCTGCTCGCTGCACAGGCTCAGCACCTCATGCTCCCGCAGCGAGATCTCACCCGGGTTCTCCGACCTGAAGTCGTATAGCGCCCGCGCCCGCAGCGCCATCGCCGCCTGCCGGGGCGCTCCCAGCGCCGCCGCCCCTCACCGCGTCGCGCTGGCGGGACTGCAGCACCAGAGTGCCGCCGCCCTCGGGCTCCTCGTCTTGTCGGCGGCCTGCCCGGTGCCGCTCCCCGTGCCGGCGGCGGGCGCGGGGCCGGGCCGGGCCGTCCCACGTCGCCAGTTGCGCTAATCCAGAGCCGAGCGGCAGGGCGGAGCAGCCGAGCGCAGAGCGGCCGCCCCCATCGATGGCACACCCCTCACCCTCCCCCTACGCCCCCTGCCGGCCGCGGGGCCGGGGGCCGCTCTGAGTGCGACCCCGGGCCCCATGTCTCTCGGCCCCGCAGGGCCTCCGCCACTCGATTGCCGCCGGCGCCTCCCGACCCCTGGAAGGCGCGTCAGCGCTTCCCCGCGTCCGGCCGGGAAGCTTCCCGAGCCCCTCGGGTCTCCTCCCCGCGCTCGGTGCCGCCGCCGCGGGATCTGCGCTACGCGGGTGCTGGGCGGCCGCGCTGGTGCTGCTGGCGCTCCTCCGGCTGTCTGCTGCGTCCAGACAAAAAGCGTGTCAGGGTGCGTTTTGCTCGTGGATAACGCGTATTTTAGCCTTACCGAAAAATGTAGTCATGCCACTGATGTTGGTTTTCTGTGGAACAGCCTCAGTCCGGTCGAGGTGCTGCTTTCGCTGCGTGGTTGTTTCCCCATCTGGTCCTCTGTTGTCTAGTCGTGGATCCTGTCCCATTAATCATCTTTGACCTCTCTTTGGATCCCTAGGTGCAAGTTTCTCTCAAGATTTCCACCTGTTTATGAGCAACTAGAAGTTTTTCAGAGGAGATGTTAAAGTTTCTGGTCCCCAGTTCATAATGTTTTCCCATTAGCATGTGGATATCTTGCTTGTTTCTCCATAGTTTACAGAATAGATGACTTCATAGATCTTTGTGTCAAATAATTTGTCATAACCTGGGAGCTGGAATGCTACAAGACCCACTGTTTCCTTTCATTGCTGGTTTTAGTGTTTGATACCCATGGTTTACATTTTACACTTTTTCTTTGGACCTTCATTTTCTCCAAAATTAGTGCACATAGTATCACAGTACTTTTCCATTACTGTTGCTCAGTTTGTCTTCTCGACTTTTTTTTTTAATATATATGTCAGCTCACGCCAGTCCAGCATGATATCCCCAAAGTCCTTTAGTGCTTAAATCCAGAAGTCTGTTCTAGTTAGTGAATACAGTGCCCAAAGAAACACGTAGTTCACCACACACCCTGCTTCTCAATGACCGGCTCTGTGGAACACATTTATGTTGCAGCAAGTTTACAGAGAGCAATTCTGAGTATCTAACAGCAGTGCTAAAGTGAGAAGCATCAGTTGTCTCCTGAGGGAGAGCTGGCATCTGGTAGAAATGTCCTGACCTGGCCTGGTCATGATCACTCACCCCCAACCAGCCGGCCCTGAGGGGATCCTCAAACCCTACATCAGCACCTGTTAGTGCTCTTAGAACCACCAAAGCTTTTTCCATCAGTCAGTGTTCTGCCCCTGCAGCTGGTGCACCATCAGTGTCTGCCTTTCACAGAGGTCCAGTTCTCTTCTGCAAAACACAGAGATTGCCGTGGCAGCTGGCCCCACAGCCCACCATGCTGCTCTCCACCCATGTGGCCAACTTAGGGTAAGGACTAAAGCTCCAGCAGGAAGTAGAAGTGGATCAATTTGACCTTGGTTTTAGATTTCATCCCAAATTCTGTCTGCTGAAGATCAAGATAAGTGATTGGGATTTTGTATTCCTTCCAGAGTTACTGCTAATGTTGGTCTGGGAAATCTTGTGCATTCCTGTGAATTCTCACAGGTTAAACTACAGAAGAATAGCCCTTGATCTGCTTCTCCATACTACTTATTGCATTATATATATTCAACTGAAACTTTTCACTAAAAGTTTCTAAACTTTTCCTAAAGTTTTCACTCCTATTCTACTAAATTTCAATATTCTTAATGATTCATGTTGTTTTCTCTGAACAGACGAAATTCCTTTTTATCACATGGAGTGGACGGTACTTGACATGATGCTGACCAACTTGATCTGTTTAAAATAGATATTTAAGATTTGCTCTCATTGGACAACTTGGAGTGACAAACAGATGCCTTGCACAGGTGCAAAGCTGGTTCAGGAATGGGATTTTCCTGCTCCAAGCGGTTATGCTGACAGTGTCTGTCAGGCTGTGGCTGTCACAGCCAGGGCAGAACAAAGGGATAACTTTGAGCTGGGCATCTGTCTTACTTCCTTGGGTCTGGTGGACGTGGTAGCTGTTCTACTTCCTCCCGCTCTCCTCAGTGCTTTTGGCCTGATTTTTCTCTAGTAAGTATTGGCTTGATGTTTGCATCTCGAATGAACAGAAGCAAAAGTGTCAAGTCCAACAGGGACAAAAACTGCAACCAGGAGAATTTGAAGGTGTAAGATCTACAAAGTTCATGAAAATATTTCTTAATTATATAGGTGTAATTCTTTAAGTAGTTATTCTCTAAGATCTTTCAATTTTATCTGAAGACTTCAACAAAAATTAAGTTATGTGACATTGAGTCATGGTTTTTCCGGCACTATTGCTTTCAATAGGACAAAAATATGAAAGGAAAATGTGTGCTATGTTATTTTCCTAGTGATCAAAACTGCAAAGAGAATTTGGAACAATAAAAAGGTTGCAAATGACATTTTCCATTCTTTCCCACCAGTGAGCCAACTCTGATTACCACAGTGCTGAGGCACTCTGTTCTGGATATTATAAATAACATTAAAAAACCATCGGTTATTATTTTCAAAAAAACTAACCTGCAAAATTAGAAGCCATTCTAACAAACATTTTTAAAATATTTGAAAAAAACAGCTTCCAAAGTCCCCAATAACCATCTGCAGTGCCAAACAGAAGACCTGGATCCATTGAGTTTTGTTTCTTGATGTTTGGACTAGGAAAGACAAGGGTTTCAGAGTAAGAATGGCACATAGTGACTCAGAGCATATTAGTTGCACACAGCGTGTATCTCAGTGCTTTGCTTGGTCAGGAATTTCTAGCATCTTCATTGGGAATTGAATTTTCAGAGGCAAAGTGGATGTTATTATAAAGACTCATAACCTATAATTCAGTGAAAATGTCTATTATTTAATGTGTTCCTAGGGACCTGTAACTTCAGGGAGTAAAGCTGAAAGCCAGACTAAAACCAAATGGCTACCAAAGACTATATACAGGATATCTCATTCTATGTGAGTTAGTTGTCTCAAGACACCATTAATATGTGCTAAAAGAGATGTTTGAAAGCAGTATGATTTTTTTTTTGCTGATGGAGTGCAGAAAATTAGAGTAAAAAATTTGGAAATATTGAAACGTTTCTGGAAAAATTTATGGATTTAATCTATCTTGAACTAAGAAAAAGTGAATGAATAGAGGCTCAGAACTCAAATGTAATGGAAGCTTTTCATTGAAGGTGTCAAATCTTTCCATCTTTATTTTGTCACTGTTCCTCTATGATATTACTTTATGTTGTAATAAGAAAAGCAAAGTGAATTTTCATGAGAGAAGATGAAATTTTGGTGGCACTAAGCCTTTTCTTTATGATGATGCTCCTTTGTGGACCCTGAAAAAAAACATGTGTCTGGAAATTGCAATGTTCTAATAGGAAAAACACTGAATAGTGCTTTCTGTTAGTAAATGGCTACAAATAGGTCAGTTTTCATCAATATAATTTCTAAGAGCAAATTTGGAGAAATGCTTGCACAGTTTGTGATTTTTTGGGGGGTTTGCTATTTGTGGTATATCTGTAGATGGTGGTACTACTTCATCATAACTAGAGCTGAGTGTAGTTTTCTTAAACCATACAGATTGATAATAAATTTCACTTAATAGGAGAATAAACCATTTTTCTTCCATTTTTATGTCATCTCTGACAGGAAAGTCACTGTCCAAATGCCTGGCAGGGCTGCCACTAGAGGGCAGAAAATGATTTTAAACACAAAATTGTTTAAACATTTCACTTGCTAAAAGTAAAAAGCTAAAGGCAAGTAAAGACTTTGAACTATCAAATCAGTAAGAAAATGTAATAAATTTGACAAACATTATTCTAGTGGTATTTTTTGCAGTTTCTGAAAGATGGAATATTATTTTATTTAAAATGCTTTATAAAAACTTACTTGAAAACATAAAATGGAGAGAAATGAGGATAGTTTATAGTGTTCTGTAAACTGAAATTTAGGAAAAGATGCAGTGATACATAGAAGAAAACAAAATATATTTCAATCACAAGCATGACTTAAAAGTTGCTTTGCTTTTTTCAAACTAGGTTGTGTAAAACTAGAGATAATTCATCAGAGACACTGAGGTTTTTGCTTGGCCTTTGCAATATATATTGGCTATATCAGCCCCAGTCTGTGTAATAGGTGGCTGTTGCTCAGTTATTCTCCACTCTTCATTTAATATTACTTGGACTGACATTTCCTGTCTGAAGGGATAATGTTTCAAACCATCTAAGGATGCTGTCAGGATAAATCCATTGTGTATGCAGTTCTTTCATGCTGTAGCAGTGGTGATATGTGCTAGTAGACATTCTGACGGTGCTGAGTCTTTCCTGGTTATGGACCAATGGGCCCATGCCAACTGCCAGTCCCTTGGCACGCACACAGGGAGAATTTACCTGCTGAATAAAGACTGAGACAGCAAAATAGGATGAATGAGCCTGCTGTACTTTGTCCTGAGCTACGTAAGTCCTTGAGGGATAATCTCAATCTTACGTTTATCAGTCCAATACCTTTAGTGGTAACAAATACTTGATAAAAAGCAAGACTGAGAGTTAAGTGGGTAGCTGATGTTGAAGCCAGCATTATATCCATATACCGTATAAATATGGCATGAAAGTGGAGTTATCCCATTGATAAACCCATTGTATAGGATGAATAAGTAAGTCATAGTACAGTGAGAATGAAGAATTGAGCATTCATTAATTTCCCACATGCATATGGAAATGTGTCCCTGGACAG